AGCAGGTGGTCGCCCTGGGATTAGTCGGCTCGCATAACGGGTTGGATATCTAGGTTAATAAAGAAATGATATAACCTAAGATAAATGCATAATATATGACTCCATGATAAAAAAACCTATAAGTTTTCATATCTTAATATCATGGATTTGATCGTATTATTTGTGGAAAAAATGATCTATTTGTAAGAATATAATATCAATAATAGATATTTCTTACCTTCCGGGAAAAAAAGAGTCATTTAGCCAAAATGTGACTAGTAATCAACTGTCAGTATATCATTTATCAGATAAAATCAGAGGATTCCTTCGGCATAACAGAGTGAATCATCAGTTATGTTTTGGTGAACAACCGATAAAATTTCAAATTCTACATGTATTGATTAACAGGTGAATCATCGTGTGTCAGTGAATAGTTGATAAAAATTCTTACCCTGTTTGCTTATTTACCTCGATATGATATTCATTGAGTTCTTTTAAACGATACAAGAAACTCGAATGAGGACACATGAGTCACCAAGTGTGTCGATCACATCCATTCCGATGACCTTTTCTTTGGCCATTTGCAATTAATGGAGTAAGGGGGAGCATATGCTATGTCTTGATCAGCCTTCTTTTGATGGTGAAGCTCCACAAATACAAGTAAAACAAACCCATAAAGTAACTATGTGTCACATGCTGGTATTTCTTTTGCCTTGTCTACATCCCTATCTCCATAACCTTGGAAAAAATTGACACTGTCTTTTACTTCAATGGTCCATCTACACGTATGTTTTACTTTAATGGCCCATCTTGATGGTTCGTTGTACTTCTAACACCTTCCCGACCTCTAAATTCTCATCTTCTTAACAGTAAAGTAAAATCAGTGTCAAGATATGATATCCGAATAAGATATGATATCTGAATAAGATATGATATCCGAATAAGATATGAGGATCCCTATTGGGCAGTGCAGCCTAATAGGTAACAAACAAGTCAAAGATGTCTTTAATCAGAAAGACGTGTCTAAACCTGGACAAAAGAACTTCAGGAAATTTTTGATGAAGATGCCCAAGATCACTGCATATCAATATACGAACAAATGGGAGCAACCGGTGAACGAAGAATGCTTTACTCTCACTCGTTCACGCCTGAGGTTGTTGGTATCCAAGTTTAGCAACTAATTAGAGATTCTACAGTCTTGTAGTCAATATAGCAATACTAAGAAAAGATGAGACATAGTACTTTCAGAGTATTTTTTGTTTTCTATGAATGATGTATATAGGAAACAGTACTTCGACATACAACATATGACAAGACCAACCAGTTCATTTTTTATGAGAATTATTTATACAGAGAATACCTGAAAAACTACAAAATAAGATGTATATCATTGTTATGGTCCAATTTCAAATTGGCACGGAGACCTCAAAAGGGTACTTGTTTTGTCACCATGTGATACCTTTAATAATAGATCCCCAAAGATACCGACATGACATTTCATGTCTAAGAAATATATGAATTGTTGGTTGTCGCTCAGAAGAACATTAGAAGAACGTTGCATATCAACTGTGTGCACCTAAGAACATTATATTATAACAAGTGGGTCATTGGCTCGACAGTATTCAGGTTTTCATCATAATGTGAGTGGTGTGTGTATGTCTGTGTTTGCCGTATGATAATATTATAATTTTCAGAAAGAACATTATCAGTATTACTATTTGAATACAGCCATGGGTCGGATTAGCATACAAACTTTTAACCCTTGGTCCCATCTGATGTCTTATGTTGAACCAAATGTCTAACTTAATATGTTGCACTTACATTGCAGAATGCGCATCAACTATATATCCCATAAAAGGGCTATAAATCGTTCAACATGAACCATTTGCTATGCTTTCAAGTGGTTTCACCGAATTGTTTGGCAAGCTGATCAACTCTGAATTGATGTTGTCACATCCTAATTTTTGTAACCTACTAATACAAAAGTGAAACCATCCCAATATGACGCACCCAAGAATTTTTGGATACGGTGGCACCTTCTAGAATAAAACGGTTGCACCTTTCACGAACCTAATTTTTTTTTACCTTACCACGGAGGAACAATATGGTGGCACGTGCCACCTAACCACCCCTCTAGGTCCGTCTATGCTATCTACATTTAGCACTACAACAAAAATGAACTATTAATTTATTGACAGAATACAAGTGTTGATTTATAAATCTTGACATATTATCGAACGACAGATTCAATACAACTGTTGCATATGTGCTCCTTCATCCCCAAATTTCTCTTTCATGTACTCCTCCTTCGAGTCATATATCGTCATGAATTGCAAAGATTTCATAAGAGACGTAACGAATGAGTTTATGGTTTAAAATATTCTCGTCAATCTTTTAAAAAGCTTTCAAGCTATTATACACATAACATTTATCATAAAATATCTTTGACTCCGTTAACTACATACGTTGGCTATAATACCATAACGAATTTTTCGTTATTTTATTTAAAATAAATAAACAAATCATAATTAAATAATTTGTTGCATGCATCACATAGAAACATCATATGAAACTCAGTTGGGTGTGTAGGCCTTCATATCTTGTTTGCACTTTAACCTACACAAACCTCAACAAATCCACATCTACTATTCACTCTTCCAAAGAATTCATGCCAAGCTCTTCGAAAACCGGGACCGAACTCGAAGTCGATCTTGTGTCTAGATTAAATAATCCTATTTACGTTTCCTTTAAGTCGTGTAAACATATTCATTATACATACATACGTAGGGGTTTCATGTAAAAACCACAAAAAATTTGATAATCGGAGAATCTATGCATTCATTTATGCATCAATGCATATATGATTGCATAGATAATAGATATGCATTGATGAATATATTCATTCACAAAGTACATATTTAAAAAATTGATAGTGTATATGCACAATGAATATACATGTTCTCCGGTTCTCAAATTTTTTGTAGTTCTCACATGAACCTGAGCATATAAATAGACCTGGAATTATATGAGAAAATACATTTTTCGTAAGAAGCGGTAAAGGCAACCTCATATTTTGAATGTCACGTTATATTTTGTTAAAGTGGTGAAGACGACTGGACTTGAATCAATGCGTACCTTCACCAACATCTCTAAAGACAGTCATTTCACACGTATTCATACAAACACAAGAGTACGTTCACATATATTGTCTAAAGGTTACATTATTTTATCTAAAGATTACATTTCTCACAAGAATTGACCTTTTTGACGGAAACCCAAATTTTTCAGGTTTAGGAAAAACGTTAAATAAATGAAAAACCGAGTACATTCAGCAATAATATTTTTGTAACTTCTAATTAGATCAGGTAATCATTCAAAATGGCTTCGTGTGATAATTAAGTCCAAACATAATGAAAATATGATTCATACATCAATTTTGTTTGTCATAGGCAACATATCATCGAACGACATTTACTAGCTTTCAAAAGGGAATTAACGGAGGAAGAAGTTATTTTAACCAACCAAATTTACTTCTTAGTCGTTTCTCTCCAACTTCTTCAAAAGAGAAATTAACAACTTATCTCTTTTAAAAATCCCCCCCCCCCTCCTTGCACTTTTTAGCTTCTTTTTTAACCTGGATATCCAACCCGCTATGCAAGCCGACTAATCCCAGGGTGACCACCTGCTTTGCAGATTGCCCGGAGTCACCCGTTCGCCACTTTGTTCTCAACTCTTCTCACCTCCTGAGCGAGACTAGCTACCTTTGGCTAGAAACCTCTTTTCCTTCTGTCCAGCTCCCGAAAAACACAAGTTGCGGCTCAAGCACTTATGGAGGTAAATTTGATCGTCCAAAATGACTACTTTTGTTAATTTACCCTTTCAAAAACATGTTTTTACTTCAAAAGAAAGAAATTTAGGCTACAAACTTCTCACAATAATTTATAGTAAACATTGTACGAATTTTCAGAAAATGGTTCATATGTTTTCATGTAGAACTCGACCACTTCAGATCATGACCCACTTGGAACAAACATTAGGGTACGTTCATCTAACATATGTTGGAAGTACCCCTCTTCAAGGTTCTTAGAGAAGTATCGTACATATATTTTTAATAAACGAACAAACTGTAATAATTTTTACAAATATCAGGGTTTACATTTCTAGCATATTTAACTCGATGACATATTTATAAAAACAAAGAAAAACTCATGTGAACATGGTTCAACATCAATCGAATGAGCAATGAATCAATCACACTTCAAGATACATGGAAACAATCCATATTGGATTTGAGCTTGGGCTCCAAAGATCAAAAGTGCCTGAAGGTTCCAGGCTCAAATTCAAGGAGGAATGAAAATCCCCTTGTGGCCATGAAGATTCAAATGTGATGCTCCGGACTACCCGCAAAGCAGATGGTCGTCTTGGGATTAGTCGGCTCGTATAGTGGGTTGGATATCCAGGTTAATCATAAAATAAATAAATAAAACAATCCATTACATCTCAAGGGACAACTGCTCTGATACCATTTGTAGCGTCTGAAACCAAATCAGAAGAATAACAATAGCCTAATAACAGTTAAATTAACAAAATACATTTTACAAAGTTATATTAGAATCCTATCATAAACTATCAAGGACTTAACAAGGATCCCCATGTAGGATGAGATTGAGTTATTTAGAAGAATAACTTCCTGACATTTTTTAAATACATTACCTTTTGAGAAATTTAAATGATACTTCAGTCTAACAGAAAAACGTCTGTTAATTACACAAGAATACGTCAAAATCAATCTTAAAAAAATAATGTTATTAGTTTATTCTCCTAAATAACCTGATGAAATGTAATAAACTCCTCACACAAATTCCTACCATCCTTGTGAGAAATCAAAATGAAATCCCAATAATCGTTACGTTATCCCTATGAATTGTGTAGATTTTACTACACATCGAAGGAAAACGGCTTAGATTCCATTTGTAATGAATCAAGCTCAAAGTAGGAGAACCCGATAACACTTCCAACGATACAGAAATCATGATGAAAAATTTATTAGTAGCCAAATACGAACAAGGACTCAACTGTTTCAAAATGACTTAGTTGCCCAAGGCTATAGATGACCAGTTTTAACCATTCAGAAATTAAGACCAGATCCAAACCTTAAGACTGCCTTTTCTACATTTCTAGCCGAACCCAAGTGGATTCAATTGCAAAGCAGTTTTTTTGTGGCCGTTGGCGTAAAACCAAACCTAGAGTGTCGTTTTAATCATTTGTCCTAAATCTCCTTGGTTCACTGCCAATAGCATCGGTTATGCCTCTTGAACTTCACCTTGGGAATTCTAGTCTTCCAAATATGCATGGTTGTGTGAATATCCAATTTGTCGATATACACAAAGTGTTTTCTTCGATGTTTTCAATGATTGATATAAAATTCTAATGGGAATAAAAACAGCTTTAGCGATACCTGCTTCACTTGGTTGTTTTCTCCAGGATATGGTTGTCGAGTCAACAAAGTCACCTGAAAGGTAGACAAGTCATCAATGAATCTATATTGGAAACGAAACAAGAACATAGAATATACATTTATGAAGTATATACGGCAAAACTAACCAACACCTTTGAACGCTTGTTTGACCTCCAAGGAGGTTGGGATCTACTGAATACCGTTGGGTCATTGACCATGCATCATATGCATACTCCCTTGATAATGGGGAACATTTTTATATCATGATCTTAAAGGTAAAGAAAGTTCTTTACAATTATAGAGTAACTGGGATGATGGATGAAATACCACCATATTCATACTCATCTACTAACAATCTAAAGATTTTAGGAGATTAATAGGTGCCATGGATACATATAACGCCATTACTCAAAAGAATGTACAAACACAATATATACAAAGTTTCGCAATATATATCACCATTTATATCATGTTAGAGAATTTATACCAGATACTTTAACAAACGTATAATCCATCCATTTGGAGAACAAAAATCAGTTTATAACTCGAGGCAAAGAGACTACTCCCTCCTAAAATTGACTTGTGAGCGTCAAAGGACTTTACTTTAGAACTTCAAAGTTCAAATTCCGACGAGAATTGTTTTCATGGTGGAGGACAAATTGATCACTATGGTATAGGATATAAGAAGTATTTTGGATATAAAAACTGGGAACATCCATATGAATCTTGAACTGGGAAAATACTATGACTCAAATATGCAAAATCAGAAGTGGCTTCTTTTTCCGAGACAAAGATGGAAATTAGTAGCAAAAAAATCAATTTGTTTGAACTATTGATAAAGAAATTGAAAACTATATTAACTTGATAACGAGCACTGGAAATACAAAAGATGCGGACATGTGAGTCGGTGTGTGTTTCCTAATTTCTATTCTAGAAAAAAGACCTCCATATAGATTTTGATATGTTGAAGGTGATAAATTTGACCTCCAAACTCAAAATGCAATTATGTTTTAAGGGCCAGGGGAGTACTAGTTAGTCATTGGAGATTGGTAACACGAAAAATGCAACAGCGGCAGAAAAATATATACATTCTCTGCACAAAAGGTAAGACTATTAAAGAAAAGCATCCAAATTGATCATCGTCTTAGACTCATCAAAAACCTTACTTTGGTTTGTCGTGTAAGGTCACCAGTGACTTCAAAACCCCTGGACCAATCTTGTCAGCAAGAACACCTTGTTCTGATATCCAAAAAGACTTCTCCTTTACAATACTTTGTAGTTTATTAACATCATAGTCTAGCCTGGTTTGATCTACATTCAAAAACAAAAGCAATTATCTTGCATTAATTTGGAATGCAGAATATTTCACATAAAGAATAATGAGCAAGCAGAGACTAGCAAACAAGATTATTGCTTAAAAATAATCAAAAAAAAATTCTACTACTTGCATACTCTTAAATCTCAAATAAGTTCCAATGTAACAAATTACACAGTCAGTCATCATTGGAGTTAAGAGGCTCGAAAGAACAAGCCTCATCCACCATGCTTTTGCAGGGGAATTCTTCAAACTTCCTTTCCTCCTTATGTTCATTACGTAATATACCTTTATTTTCACTGTGATATTCCTTTTTGGCAATAAAATTTATCTAGACAACATATGGAGCACCAGCAGTAACGATAACTACAGTCACCAAAATTTCAATTTGTATCTCAAGTTCCCAAAAGTGGTCAAGGCTAGAATGAATACCCAAATCACATTAGCCATAAAGAGATCAACTAACAATATCCTCTAACAGAATTAGAGTCATTACTTATAGACAGCTTCGAGTTGGAATGACGACTCCATGTCAAATGACTAGATTATAACATAAACAGTAGCTTGTTCAAGTTTTGGTAAATCGATGAAGATAAACCGTTGGAGACTGTATAGAAGTTACTTTTAGTACTTGGTGCAAAACTTAGAAAGGTATACACAAGCGAAAAGAAACTGTTGATTAACAATCAATACATAAAACATCATGCTAACATCAAATGGTAGTACTGACCAGCATTGATGAGACTACTCTATCAGTCCAACCTATATTATTGATACCTACTCTTTGGCATGTATGTTCAATGTGGGCCGTTTCTATATTTGGAAAAGATGCTGATACATACCAAGTAATTTTGCCTAGGGTAAAATTAATAAAAGTTAAATAAGTGGGCCATGACACTCTTGAAGGTGTGTACTAAAGGAGGCATATCTTCTACAATAACATGCACTTCTTCTCAAACAAATTCCAGATCCACACTCTTTAGCACGCAAGGGTACAGAAAAACATCAGTATAGCACTATCTCGAACATAAGGGGTTTGAGGATTTGAGTTCATTTGCTTCAATAATTGGAATTTAACTTGAGCTTGAAGACGCTCTGGGATCGTATCATTGGCAAATCCAAGAATTTCAACTTGAGGAATACACCACCATAACAAATATGATTAATTTTTTGGCATGAACAAAGGATAATAACTTTTTGCGGAGAAGAACATTAAATGTATCTTTTGGTTGGTATGCACATGCATATGCAAGTTGCTACATAGGAATGCTACAGGATTAAATGCTTGATTCCACATTAACTAAAAACTAAAGGCTCGAATAGTTGGCTAGACTCAATCACTATCTCAAACACTGCTCGAGTTCAAAAACCCAGTATATCAATTAAACAAAGCAAGTTGACACAAAATACCTGTGGTACCATTGGTATCTCAATGCCTCAGTTGCTCCGTATAATATGACTAAAATAAAGTCATCATTTCAGAAAATAATATTTGGGAACTATAGATGTCACCAACGTCTACACAACCAAATATATGATCTAGTAATGAATTATAATAACTTGATGTTATGAGCAAATAAATAGGGACATGGACACAGCTTATTTTCAAGTCAATGATTTATAATCTTCATATATAGTAGGTATTACATACATCACGTCCATTGATGGAACTCATAAATTGTACCAACCAATTAATCGATCAAAACCCTTCAAGCACAATACTATTCATGTTCAGACTAACATTTTACATAACCCAAACAAATAGTGCCACAAGAGGAAACCCATGACTTCCATCCCCTCCTATAAACAAATTCTAGTGAAATTGTTGAGAAAAAAAATCAACAAACATAAAATTTACAGCTTAAAATATACTAAACAACCATATTTGTTTCTTTCAAATAAAATATAAACACGGCAACTGCTCAAAACAAATCCATGAACTGGTAGCCAGTAACCCAAATAAGGAAACAACTGATTACTGAGGTTATAAACAATCAAAACACAATCCTGGTTAGCAATTAGCTCCTGGTTGATAGCCAGGAGGGAAGTTGGCTCACTTCCTAAATCCCTCTTCATTGGACATCTAATAGGAAATCGTATTCGACAACAATGGCTTGTGAAGAATGAAGTTGAAAGCCCTAATGATTGGAGAAGAAACAGAAGTAGTAGCATCACCCAATTTTGGAGTAGTGAGACTGATAGTACTTAATACCGTGAGTAATTCAACATTTCTTTATGCAACCTCAACAAGCCTTCCTAAAAAGCATTAAGCAGCTACGTGGTCAAGTTGCCTTCTAAGGCTTGTTGCCTAAGCGAGGATTAAGTGACTCGTTAAATTGGTTCATTTTAATATATTAAATATAATAGTGATTTAATAACTTGGAATTTTGATAACATGTTATTATGACACAATTACTTTCTAAATGACTAATATCATTCCTCCATTGATGCAGTATCACAGTAAGTTGCAATGTTTTTCACAATCCTACATATTAGTTGATAAATTCCCTCCAAAATCCTTATATTAGTGGACTCAAAAGGAGGCTATAAATTTGGATTTTCAACAACCCACCTTTTTCATTTCTGTTTAAGGCAATAATCACAATCATCCCTTTTCTCTAAGGGTCAACAAACTGAACCTCGAACAAATGAAACTGAAACCAACTAACTATAAAAGTATATAAGTAACCCACAACCAAGTAACAACCCGACTACAATGAAGAAAACCATATTACAACCAACTAAACCAAAGCATATAGGCTTCAACTGAAAAATAACCCCACTTGATTTGCGTTTAGGCATCTAATTATCAGTGGTTGTCTCAACTTCTCAACGTATATAGGCTACAAATGATGAATGTTTACACTAATTTGGTGATCATTTTCTATATCTGACTGAATTCTTTAACTTAACTGGGCTAACAATTACTAGGATGATTAGTGCCTAGACGGCCTTGAAACAACCCTAACTAAGGGGTGAGGATGCGTAAAACCTAGTCAGCCGATTAGTCAACCCTAAATAAGAATTTTCAGCAAAATACTAGGAAATTTACTAGTAGTCTTCCAAAAAGACTACTAGTTATGGAAATGTTAGAATCTCTTCAGACTACTAATTTAAAATCTGATAAATAATTCAGATCATACAGTAACTGTAAGAAGCAATTGGCATTGTCTAGCCTGATCACTTGTTAAAATGGGCCCGGTGCTTACTTGGTTTAAAAATGCGCGCATTATGCGCTCTGATGCGTGATGCGCTCTGATGCGCTGAACAAAACGCATCAAAGAGTCTGATGCGGTGCGATTCCATGATGCGATCGCATCACCTACGCATCACACGATGCGTGCATCACTTACGCATCAGCGCATCATGTATGTTGCGTTTTTGGGCTCCCTTTTTCAGTGTTTACTTGGGCTTTTTAGTTGGGCTTCTTAGTTATGTAAAATAGAACGTGAGTGACTGTTAGCGAGTAGCGACCTAATCGATAGAAGCCGACGGCAAAGAAGTAGAAGTAATCGATAGCAGAAGTCGAACCAGCAGGCAGCAACAGTTAAAGCGGGTATGAGTTACCTAGCAAATCCAGCAGTTAAAGCGGGTATGAGTGACTGTTAGCGAGTAGCGACCTAATCGATAGAAGCCGACAGCAAAGAAGTAGAAGTAATCGATAGCAGAAGTCGAACCAAAGAAGTAATCGACAGCAAAGAAGTAATCGATATCACGTAATTTTTAAGATTCTAATGCCACTTTTTTAACTACTTTATGTTATAAATGAAGTATTTTGGTAGGCAAGTATTTTTAAGGTAGAAATTGATATGTAGAATTAATTTATAAATATTTTTTGAATACCGGGCGCATCACGTGCGTGATGCGAGCGCATCAGCATCACGCATCGGCTTCCGGGACCCTTAACGCATCGGACCGCATCGCGCTTTTTAAAACCAAGGGTGCTTAGAATTTGAGTTCCTTTGACGCTTTAACTCTGCTCCTTAAAAGCTGCATCTGATACCAGGGCTGTGGAATGTCCACCAGTTCGACCATTGAATCTATCAGTCTAAAAAATACAGACTTTATTCATGACTTGACCTTCTGATATTAGTATATTACAAATAACAATTCTCCAGTTTCTAGTATCGCCATGCAGTGTATAAACCAACAAAAGTTACCAAATTCTCATGCAGCATATATTATAATCACAATTCCAGAAAGGTGAGTTTCCTATTCTTGAACCTAAACTAATCATAGTGGACTTTAACAATTCCAGATATCTAAAAATTATTCACAACTAGGTAAGACATTCGTGAGGTTGCGAGATGAAAAAAGAAGAAAATATTTAGCTTGCTTCTGCATTCAACTCTGAGAAGAAGATCAAATATAACTCGCTTCGAACTCAAATACAAGTCTAGCAAGCCATGTCCTTGGTCAAACTCAAGTTTAACTGTCAGCTGTTGGTCTAACTTGATAAAATTCAATAAACAAAGAGGGAGGGGGGGGGGGAGAATATTCGATAGCTTAGACTTCTGATATAAAAAATATGAATTAAGGGTTCATAGGGCTTTAACGCACCCACAAAAAGAGTACCAAATAACACCTAATTCAACCTACAAGGAGCTGGAAGCATACTATATAAGAAGTCAGACAAAAAATTACTTTACTTGCTTTTTTAACTAAATAATAACCTAATTTAACATAGGAGAGTCCAGGTACCTCCAATTTTGGACTATCAACTCTTTTGGTAATAATCAAAGATGGGGACATGAAACAAACATCCTCTCAAGAAATACAAGTCTAAACCACGTACCTTTCTCCAAAATGGTATGAGCAGCGTGAAATGGAACCCGAGCAAATATATCAGTTCCAGGGAACATCATCCATGTCTTTTCCTTAGAGTCATGATTCCCACAAGTTGCACAGATCTCCTTCACTAGAGGCCTCGATTGATCAATTTCCTTCATCACGAACTCATAAGGTGAAGGAACACTTGTTTTTGTAGTCCGGCTTCTCTTTCTTAGTGCAGTCAATGCTTCCCTGTTCCCATTTCTCATTCTATCATTCTCAACTAACTGTGATCATAAATCCATCAGTTTTGATCCTAGAAAAACAGCAAGCCTCATATCCTAGGCTAGGACGGATAAGCAAAATATGAGAAAAGTAGTCACCCAAAGTGAAAAAAATAAATTTTCAAGTACCTGGTGCCTTGCAAGTAGAAGAGCCTCTGCTTCGGCCTCAATCTCAATCAGCTTTTCTTGAAATTGCTTCATTGTATCATCCATTTTTAATCTGTTAAATATAAACCCTTATCAACAATAAACCTGATGGCAACCAACGGGTAACTGGGGGTGGTTATTTAGATAGGATTTTACGGGTTTCGGAAAATCACCAATCCACCCGAGACCAAAACCGAATTAGGGGCCACCCGATCCAAATTACCGAAACTCTTATTTGGGTTAATTGGGTGGGTTTCAAATAACCCGCATAGCAAAGAGGGGCTAACTCTTTGCTTAAGAAAGTACATTAGCCACAGGGTTTACATGTACCCACAATCAAATGCTTATCTTTTCAATAATACCATAAATACAAAAGTAACAGATTTCGAACAAAAAATATCATCACATACAACATCCAATTTACGAAGATCAACAAAACTGCATCAAATTTCACCCCATAAAAGTTCAACATATACCACCAGAAACGGGTAAAAACTAAAGGAAGCGAGATAAATTATATCAACATGTGAAGGTGAAGCTTACAAGGGATGGACCAAATGATGGCAGACGACAAAAGGAAAACTGTGGGGAAAGTGACGGGATTGCGGGTCAAGGGCAACCAAATGACCACCGTGGAATGGCAATTGGAGGTTTGGGGCGGGAATATAGAAATCATTATATAGTGTGCTGTGTGCCAGCATGAGAGATGGTGAGTAGGAGTGGTATAACAATCAAGGGGTTGTTTACTAAAAAAATTGGGTAAGCAATGACAGGGTAAGAGGCTGTGACTGAAGTAATTGATGATTGAAAATGTCTGTTTACCAAGTGTTGTGTAGTAAATGCTGATTGACAGAAATTACATTTGAACCCTCTAAATGATTAAGGGTGATGAAATATGAGTGTTTATGTAATGGTGATGAATGACAGAAAATTACAATTTTCATAATTAACTATATTTAGACACGGAAATATGTTAAATTTCATTTATATTATAATACAAGTATTTAGTAGACTATCAAACATTAATTCCAAAAGAAAGCTGTTTCCAATTTCAGACAAGAAAATAATACTGTCACTTGTAGCTAAAATGGAGGTGTTTGAATGTCCTCTGCAAAATACTAAGGGAAATGACTTGGCAAGTGTGTGTGTGTGTTTTCATACTTTAAGCACTTATCACGCAATCTTTGGTTTGCACGGCTCCAAGCAAGAAAGACCTCTCCTGCTTAGTGCTTACTGAAACAGGAATATGCATAACTGACTCATATGGTGGAAACAAAAAGGGATAAGGTGTTCACTCTCGTGTATTTGCTTATAAAACTAGCAATGTGTTAGGACCAAGTCAAGTTTAGGTTTTTAGTTGCTTGCATAGTTTAAATTAAAGAAAAAGTGGGCATGATGATATACTACAATTAGGCTACTTGAGTCGGTTAACCATGGAAGCTGTTTCCGTGATCAGTGTTTAGTTAGTGGAGTCCTAGAGTTTAGGCCAAGTGGTTATTTTTATTTGTATTTAATCCTCTCTCCTGAAATGAAAATGGTAAGCAGAATTTTGTCAAATACCTCGTGGTTCATTCTTACCTGAAAAAAATATCCTTTTTCCTAGGTCCTTAACAGGAACCTATCAGTTAGTATCAGAGTTTGATCGGGACCCCCATTCAGAGGTACCAAAACTCAGCTATGGCTACGAACAAGGACCGGATTGAGAAAGTGGAAGGAAGATTGAACTCTTAAAACAAGGGTTTAACTTCCTGGAGGGCAGTATCACGGACAGAACGTACAAATAGGAGACCATCACCAAGTTGACTGAAGTGGTATGTGGACGTGAGCACAAGGTGGGAAACGGGCAGGACAAGCCGATGTTCGAGTCTAGACCCGTCAAGCTTGAATTCCCAAGGTTCAAGAGAGGAGACCCTACCGTGTAGCACACACGAGCGGAGCAATTCTTCGAGTTCCGTGTTCGTGGAGGAGATTTGGGCTCGATTTGGGACTACAGAGGGTGAAGATTTTAACAAGGCTCTGTCCAAAATCACAGACCGGTTCGTTGCAGGATTACCGAAAGCAGTTTGAAAGGCTACGCAACCGGGTACGTGGATGGACTCAAAAGGCTTTGGTCGGGACCTTTATGGGTGGACTCAATCCTGAAATCGCAAATGAAATCCAAATGTTCAAACGACAAAATCTCAAAGACGCTATCAGGTATGCTCGCATGAAGGATCAGCAGCTACAGAGGCAACGTGCATTTGATCCATCACCCAACCAACTTCTCTTGGGAGCCCCTCCAGCCACAAAAAAGGAAGCAGCCGCTGTCTAACATGGGATGAGATGCAGCGGCAAAAGGGCACGAGGACTATGCTTCAACTGTGACGAATGGTTCACTTTGGGCCATGGATGCCAAGCACCTAGAATAATGTTGCTGGCTGCAGAAGAAGAGGAAAGATCGAACGCCAGAAATGAAGACGCCGATGGTGCAAAAGGCATACCGGAAGCTGCTGCAAAGATGGATCGACACTAACCTTGAGGACAAGATTGTTCTTAATGAGGAGGGCAATGTTAGGACCAAGTCAAGTTTAGTTTTTTAGTTGCTTGAATAATTTAAAAAAAAAAAAAAAAAGTGGGCATCATGATACCCTACAATTAGGCTACTTGAGTCGGTTAACCATGGAAGTTGTTTCCATGATCAGTGTTTAGTTAGTGGAGCCCTAGGGGGCGTTTGGTTCGTCGAAATCCGCAGGAATCTGGTGGAATTGGAATGGTCAATTCCGTTGACCAAATTCCATTCCAACGTTTAGTTACCCATGGAATGGAATTGAATTCCAAAGATTCCATCATTTGAGGATTTCACCATTCCTTCCTAAAACTGATGGAATTGAAATCCATTCCATCCAAAAATGTGTAAATGACAAAAATACCCTTGTGATGCTTCAAGTTTCATCATTGATTGATTAATGCTTCCTTCCAATTTCTGGTTATCGATTACTACTTGCTTCCAAGAAAAAGAAACATCATTGCAAGACGAAAACTACTTGTTTATCGATTACTGCTTGCTTCCCGATTACTACTTGCTTCCCTATAACTGCTTGCTTATCGATTACTACTTGCTTCCCTATAACTGCTTGCTTATCGATTACTGCTTGCTTCCCGATTACTGCTTGCTTCCTGATAAGTGATAACTGCTTGGTTATCGATCACTGCTTGCTTATCAATTACTGCTTGGTGTTAATTACTGCTTGTTGTCGACTACTGCTCGCTTATTGATTACTGGCTCTCCGATGAAACGGAAACACAGAAAGGAAGATAAAAAAAAGAAACCCTAGAAACAAAAGCCAAGAAATTTCACGTCTGTCGATTACTGCTTGCTTATCGATTACTGGATCTCCGATGAAGAGAAAACACATAAAGAAAGAGAGAAAGAAGAAACCCCAGAAACAAAAGCCAACAAATTTCACGAGAAGCAAAAATCTGGAATTGGAGTCCATGTAACTGAAAATATGAATGACTTTGCTTCCATATCCAATTTTAAAACAATATCAAAGAAAGGGTATTTTGGTCCTTTTTCATCATTCCATTCCAATGCAATTACAAACCAAACAGGCATATTCCAATTCATTAAACAGATTGCATTTCATTCCTGCCAACCAAACACTTGGTCAAACCTGAAAACATTTCATTCCAATTCATTCCAGATTCCAATTCCTTTGACAGATTCCATTCCTTCAAAAATCATTCTACGAATCAAACGCCCCCTAAGAAGAACGTGGAAATGATTGTTATACACACATCGAATTCACAGTGATTTCGACTCGATTACACACATGCATGACACTCAACTTAACTTCTCCAAGGCCAGAACATACCAAAAAAACCCTGAAGACCTCCATGGATGTGGGGGTCGGGGAAGAAGAATGAGTGTGTGTGGTGGGCTTTTTACCACTCGCCAGAAGTGGGTATTGATGGGAAAGAGCTTTTTACCACTCACTGGAAGTGGGTGTCGACACTGTGTGTGTATATTTCCACGAGACCCATGTGCTAATAGCTAGCTTGTCCATGTTAATAACCTCATCGGAGAAGAAGAAACCATATGTTCAAAAACCAACCGCAGAAGATGTTGGGTCACTATGTGTGTGTATTTTCTTATTTGGGAGTTGCCAGAGGTGGAGGCTGCCGGTAAGGGAGGCCAGAGATCGAGGCCGGTGAAGGGGGATGGGCAGACAGTTGTGCATGTCTGTGTGTATATGTTATAATTTGTATAGTATAATATATATTTAACTTGTTATATGAAAGAGACAAAAAAGGGTGGGTAAATACCAAATCTCCTCTTGGGTTAACTGAGTTAGCGGAATTTTTTTAATGATGATAGTCATATCGATCATGGTCGTAACAAAATGAATACTAGCAGGACCATATCCATAACAAACATAGTTTAGGGACGCCACTCATAATATTCGACGAAACACAGGGACCAAATCCGCAATTCACTCAACTATTTTTAAGGGGTTTGGAACCTAGTCAAACAAGGGGGCTTATCACCATGCTGATTTTTACTAAATATAATAAAAAAAGGCTCAATATAATAAGTGAAAGTCTTAAGGCCACTCTTTACACTTTACTAATCAGCCTCGATAACAATCTTCACCAAAACTGCACAAATTTCATGTTCCCACTTTCTCAAATCATGCATCACATAGTTACCAAAGCGTATGCATACTTCATTATATGTGCATCTGTGAGGGGCGTAATCATTTTTAGTTGAACAATTTCCTAATACATAATTAACTATACTTCCAATTTGGTACTTTCCAACTTCAAAATTTGATAAGAATTTGGTATTTCAAACTTTTGTAAGAACTTAATAGCTATATCAAAACTTATAACAAGCCCTACAAATTAAAAAATGTTGGCACTAAATTATCAACAAAGTGAACTCAATTTAGCATTTGAAAAGCAGCATGTCTAACCTACAAATGTGTAGCTCTTTTTGAACAAGGAGGAATACTAAATTCAAACAAAGTTCACAAAACTAGATCGCAAGCCCAAATTAGAGGTTCGATAGTTAAAGAGGGCTTGGGCAGGTTGAAACCACGCTTTTGACGGTCTTACTATTAACAAACATCCTATGGCTTCGATAGGAAGGTTTCAAAGTTGAGCTATATTGAAGTTAGATGGAAAACTTTATTAACGAATAGATTGGAAAAACCAAATAAGTGGTCGTTGGATGAATTGATCTCAAACATAAATTTATACTGAGATAACGACAAGGAAATCAATGATGTTTACCTTGCTAGTCTTGTGGATGGAATTAAGATCCGAAAATTGAAGCCCTAATCAACAGTAAAAAAGAAGAACAGATAAGAGAAAGACCCAATCGATGTTTCTGATTTCAAATTGAAGAGCAACTGTAGCACAATACAGAGAGAGGGGGGAGATCAAGCACAAAGCAACGAGAAGGGATACGAGGGCAATAGGTTTTGGTTCTGGAAACAGCAGCAAGTGGCAGGGGTAGTAGCACAGCAGCTGTGGAGATACTCGCCTGCCCATAAATGTAAATAGAGTAAAATACATTTTTCGTCCTTGTTCTTTGTCCAATTTCTTGTTTTTCCTCTGGAGTTTGTTTATTTTAATTTTGTCACTATAGTTTGAAATATCGCTTGGATTTGATAAGAAATGCATTAGATGGTCGCCTATTTAATTGTTAGCCTTTAATAAAAAGTCTCGTGCAAATATATCTTAGAGGTCGTTTACTAAACTCTTACCAAGAGCCTTATTAGGTGTCATTACCTTACCGGTGAGCATGGCAAAGACCGAGAATCTTATCCGGTGAGTGATGGAGAAGGCTCTTTCCTGGTAAGGGCTTACTGCGTAAAAGACGCTTACCGCAGTCCATTTTGATGGTAGAGAATTTAACCGATAAGGAAAGTGAGAGTGATGACTATTGCCGGTAAGCACTTACCCGGTAAGCTTTTGGTAAACGACCCCTTAATATCTCTTATGTAATTGATAGTCTTAATAGAAAGTTTCATGCAAATATCTCTTATGCAATTGTTAGTTTTATTTGTATGTTCACATTTTGATTTTACTTTGTTTAAACACAATCAATTAACTAGAATGTAAACTAATGTACCAAAATTTCAACCCGGCTAACCCAAACTACACGGTTTAGGTTGGGTTTGGGTTAGGTCAGTTGGGTTAGATTAAGATTTTTTAAACAACAAACACTGAATTTGGTTGTCCAAATGCCTTCAACCCGACCAACTCAACTCATGTGCAGCCGTACCATTAACTTTCATGTTTTAAGCGAGGGATTTTCCCTCCAAAGGCATCACTCTTGTCATGCAACATAAACAGTATCATGTTTTTTATCATGCAATTCTCACCATATAATATCATCATAGAACCAACAACTATTATTATAATGGCCCAAGACAAGGCATAATTGTTTAAATATTAAGCATAACATAATATTAAGTTCAAACAATCAGTATCAAAGTTGATACCTATAATAATGTATCAATGAAATGGAAAGGAATTACTTTATCATATATATGAAATGAATATGACAGTAAAATGTGTGACAAGATAATTAATACAAGATAGTTATAAAATGCACTGTTGGTTTAAGTATAATACGTATAAAGAGGGGTCAAATGGATACGAGAACAATAATCAAATAAGAGAACACGAAAACAGTCTAATCACATGCAATTCACGCGACTTTGGCCACGTAACTCAGTTGGCAAAAGGATGGAGTGACTTTGTCCAAATATAAGGCATGTCTTTGGAGGCAGTTCCATGTGTGAGACTGGTTAAGATTGTGAATAATCAACAATTGAGGTTTTTAATGCCCTGAGTGAAAAATCTAAAAATGCCCCTAACCTAAAATTTTGACAAAACACACTATTTCTAAGGGACCAAGGATTTACGGAGAATCGTGAGTTTTCAAACGAAAGAAACCACACTGGTCACCACTTGCCATGGGCCACTTACATATCATTTTTCAAATGTCAATATTTTCGATCAAGACAGATATGCAATAAATTACTAGATATGTTGAAAAATGGGCAATTTAGAGGGATGCAAATATAGCTTGTACATTAATGCACATGAGGAAATTAAAGATTATTTAAGAAATAATTTTGGGAATACATCAGACAACTTGATGTGTAAGCTAGAAATCTAGAAAACATGTTTAACATGATATAAGAATTAGTGTTTATGAAATCAATTTTACAAACAACTCATTAGGTAGAGAAACCACGAGATTTATGCAAATTGACATTGTTATATACTTAATAAACGAAATTAAAACAATGTGATTACTAATAGATTATGAATGATGCATCTGATAGAATATGTCAACATGCTATGAAAGAGATATGGTTGATTATGTTTATAACTTTGTTTCATGTACAAAGTAATAGCTAATGCTCTAAGCAACATGTACAACATTCGATTCTAAAAGTTGGGAGTGTGGTTCATTTGTCATGAACCCTAAATTTCTAACCTGTTTGAAAAATAAATTATAGGTGAATTACCTTTCACTGGTTCGAAAAACAACCCATTCTCCAACAATATTTTGAGTAACTACAGGGCAACAATGTTACTTCCATTCTTTTGTAGGCTTCCTATATTAACCTTGATAAATTATAATCACTTCTTCTAAGACGTAAATGCCACATAAGCGCATAGAAAACAAGTAAAATCAATACTCTTTGCATCAAGAATCAAACCATGTAACCAATCTTTCAATCTTTCAATCTTTTAAATTAATATAACAAGAATATCACAGAGTTTATGTTCATGGTGGCATTTCATCGAACAGTTGGGGGGCATCATCAACCTCGGTAATATTATAAACAATGAGCAACAAATCAAACCCCAGGCATAAAGCAAATACCAATGAGAAACCAAGATAGACACATTAGCATATTGAACTAATCATCTAACTATCAAAACTCAACAAGACAAGTAGACAACAATCCAGATAAATAAAACAAATTAGAAACATCTTCGATCTACAAAAGAGTGAAAGACATAAACATTCGTCATAAGAATTTAGAAATTTACCAGAAGTCTAAATGGGTTGCTTTCAACTAAGAGAGCCAGAGACTTTGATCAAGAGACAGGAGAGAGTGAGAGACTTGCAGTTTGATTTCGAGACGACGCGAGTTGAGAGAGAGTTAATGGGTATCACTTGGTTCCAGAACAAGTTGGAGAGCAAGTTCGATTTGTGAGGGTGAAACGAGGTAGGGCAGCGTAGTAGGCAAAAGCTTTTAACGGGCTCTGTTTGATATTATGGAATGGTTTGGGACATAATGATTAAGAAGTATAAAATAAAATATAATTGTTTGGTAATTGTGTATAATAAAATTAGAATTTTTAATGGTCAGGGAAGATTCAGGATACAAAATTATTCAAAGAGTTTTAGAACTATTAAAAGGCAAAAAAAAAATTGTCAAACAAGATTCATTTTTTAACGATTCAAATGTTGCCTCTTAATGGAACTATTAGTACAAAATTATTAAATGACCAGAACGATTAAGAACCTATGTATTAGTGCTAGCTAGAATATGATTGTTTGGTAACTCATCAGAAGATTTTTATAATATAGTGCAAAATGAAATATAATTATTTGGTAATTATTCATAATGAAATTAGGGTGTTAAATGGTTAAAGAAGGCCCAAGATACAAAATCATTCAGAGGATTTTAGAACTATTAAGAAACAGATTTTTTTTGCTAAACAAGATTAACCTCTTAAAGATTCAGATGTTGTCTTTTAATAAAACTATTAAGAAATAAACAAACAACACTTAACAAGTTTTTAAAAAGTTTTTGATATTTTTAATCCATTTTTAATACTCATACATAAATCTTCAAACACCTGACATCCCAAACTTTTGGACTTCAAGTTATTACTTTAATTGTTAACCTTTTTATCAAGTCTTTATTTTTACCATTGATGATCCCCTTAATGGTGCATCCAGACAGGTACAATAGATTAATAACATAAAATCGAATAATACAAAACAAATAAAATGATTGTTTTGTCTCTAATGAGTTGTTTCTATATCTTATACATTTTGATTAATTATGTAATTTATTAAGTTATAATAAAATATATTATTATAAAGTTTTTATCATCATGATTAAAATGACACAAAAATAAAAATAAAAATTTGTGTAGTTTCCAGTTTTTATTTTGTGCATTTTTTATATTTAATAAATTACATAAATTAATTAAAATATAAAAACGTATAAAAATAATACTTTTATAATACAGTAAAGTACATGTTTAAAGAGCATGAATACAATAAATAAATTAATCATTATATTTATAATCTATAACTTTAATAAAAGAAAATGATATATACATGAGCTGACATTGTAATATTTAATATTAGTTTGATTTTTTTTTTAATTATCGTCATCGCGCAACGCGCGATGCACAAAACTAGTTGAAATAAAATGAAAGACCAAAATTGAAACCAAGTAGCAACCACAATGGTAAAAATTGAAATCAACTGACGACCATAATGATCAAAATTGAAACCAAGGGGCAACCATGATGACCAAAAGTATAATTAGTTTGAAATAGGGATTATTCTTGATATTAGGTGGCAATCGTAGGGACTAAAATTGTAATTTACTCTAAGGGGGCGTTTGGTTCGCAGATTTTGAAGAAATCTAATAAAATTGGAATGTTAAATTTTATTGATCAAATTTCATTTTCTCGTTTGGTTTGTTCTTTTTCACGAAAGGAATACTAAAATCCTACAAATTCCACAATTAAAGAAATTTAACATTCCTTAGCAATAATATGGTATTTTGATTAAATTGAATTATCTATTTTTTCATAATACCAAATATGTCTTTTACCTAATATACCATAATCTCATAAAACCCAATATGATCATTGTCGACCACCTCCGACCACCGCTCAATCTGAATCACCGCCGACCACCGCTCAATCTGAATCACCGCCGACCACCGCCGACTACCATCGATCTGAACCATCGGCAACTATCACCAATCTGAATCACTGTTGATCACCGCTAACCAGCGCCATCTGAACCACCATTGCCGCCATTGCCGATTTGAACCACCATCCTTCTAAACCACCGTGGACCACCATCGATCTAAACCACTGTCGACCACCACCATCTGGACCACTGCGGACCACCACCGATCTGAACCACCGCCGACTGTCATCGATTTAATAACGTCGTTTGGCTAATGGTTATATTTGGGTTGTGTATTTTATATTGTTTTACATATTAAATAACCATTTTATTAAAGTATTTTTAGTTTTTAAAAATTTTAAGTTTTCATAAAAGGGTATTTTGATCATTTACCAATATTTCATTCCAATTTTAAAGCTACATCATGTTAACCAAACACACAGATTCCAATTCCGTAACATATTCCATTCCAATGTTTGTCAACCAAACAGATAGTCAAATATAACAGTATTTCATTTCAATTCTTTCAAAATTAAATTTCTTTAGCAGATTTCATTCAATCAAAAAACATTCTACGAACCAAACGCCACTAAAATTTTTATGAAAAAGTAATAATGTTATATTCTATCATGTGGACTGTGGAGCATACTCAACGCACCAAATGTTATTCTATCGTGTGGAGTAGACCTAACTCACCTAATGTCTTTCTCTTACAAACAAATATCATAAAATCTATCAAAATACCAGTTATTCATATAAAATTTATAGAAGATTATTCTCCTAACTAATGGGATGTTTGAGATTGCTTATTTAAAGTAATTTATGTTTTTTTATAAAAATGGTCATCAACTTATGTGGTGTCAAACTAAAATTTTATAAAAAAATGTTTAGATTCGTTTATGATGGTTCCAAAACATAATAAATTGTTTTTTAGTATTTGATAAATTTTGCTTATACATGTAAAATAACCAAAAAACACATTCTTCGTGTTATTGAGTTATTTTTTTTAACAAATTCCAGTTTATTTATTTTTACCAAAAATGACATTCTTCCCCAATTTCCCCCACCGTTATGGGCAATCATCGCCAGCAGAAAGCACATTTCACCGGAGATTTGTTTACTTTTTGCCGCCATTTCAGTCTTTCACAAGCCATGGACTTTGATTTGTTCACCAGAGATTTGTTCACGTTATCGGATATGACAGTTTATTGCGTCTGATCTGATGTTGAATCGTCGGAATTCTTTAAAGAAAAGGAAGGGAGGTAACGGAAAGCAAGATGGTGGCGTTAGGAAAGGGATTTGATGGAGGTTTTTAGGGTTAAATAAAAGGGTAAAATGGTAATTTAGTTTTCAAAGATGATAGATTGTTTTAAATACGTCAGAAGGGATCGAATTATGAAAAACATGTCTGGTCATTCTTTTTTATGCAAACACTAAAAACGGTACCTATATTCTATTTAAGGGATTGTTTGTTTATCTCTTAATAGTTCCATTAAGAGGCAACATCTGAATCATTAAGAGGTGAATCTTGTTTGGCAAATTTTTTTTTTGCCTCATAATAATTCTAAAACCCTCTGAATGATTTTGTATCATGGATGTTCCTTAACCATTAAAAACCCTAATTTCATTATAAATAATTACCAAAAAAATTATATTTCATTTTACATAAGACTCTGGGTTATCACGCTTCGAACCATTCAGGAATTGGTAAGTCAAACACCCTCTAAAGTCTAAACCATCCAAAATATCCAAGATTATTTCTGATCGCAATAAAATTGTTGGCTTCCCAAAAGGCGAAGATGATGCGTACAGATCTTTTAATTTTAATGAAGTTCATGCCTACTTTTGAAAGTTGAAACCCGTGTGATCAACTGTTCTTCTTTCCTACCAATTTCTTTCGGTTTTCGAATTATTAGCATCGTCGGTCATAAATTCATCAGTTTATCCAGTTTCAGAATCATGGCCACAATCCAATCTGGGTTGTTGTCACGGGAGCAGCGGTAACTTCTCTTTATGTCCTTCCAACACATACACATACGTACTAAATGCACATGATCTAATGCTTTTCTCTATAATGAAGTCATCTTTGTCAAGACTCCATTAATTGTGTTGCATTGCTTATGGGCTTGGTATAATGGTATTCCTCATTTGGGGTTTCTTTGCCTTGCCCACAAGGTGTTTGATAAATTCTTTCTGTGAGAGTTGGATTCGCCATTGATTGGTTTTCTATAAATAAATGTTGTTTTCGTAGAAGGGATCACATTGGCTGTTGTTTGTTTTGATTGTTAAACCAAATGGAGAATTTGGACGTGCTTCAGAAAGTTGTGGTTCTTTTGGGTTGTTTGTATTTGTCATGGAGGATCGTTAGATACATATGGAGCTTTTTGGATGTTGGAAAAGATCCTGTTATTGTGCTTGTTACTGGGGCTGCAGGCATGTCCTTCAGTCCTTGACCGACTATTTTCTCTATGAAAACAAAAAAACTATTCATTCTATAAAACTTTTTTTTTTTTTGAAGTATATAATATTTATGTACGGCAAATAAAACAAATAGACTCACACATCCTCCTCATGTTTGTGAGGTTTGAACCTTTGACCTCTTAGGAGGACAAGGATTCACCTACCGCTAGGCCAAAGGCCCTTTGGTATAAAACTTCTTTTTCCATGATTAGAAATGGTCAATTCTAGATCATTGATGCTACAGTCACTTGTACATTGTGCAAACAAAGTGGTACATAATTATGGATTTTTTTCATTTCTCCTTTGGAAAAAAGGCCTGAAATTTTCATATATTTCTATTGGAACGTTGGCTCTTTAATATACTTGTTAATTTTAGTGGAATTTTGCTCTTAATGCTATTTCTAGCCTTATATTTATGTTATGTCCATGTAATATTTTAACGACCAAATTCATACATGAAAGCATGAAACACGATTATAAAAATGTTGTTAACTACGGATTATAATCAACATAGTTGTTTCCACAATTACTTTTGGTTCATATAAATGTATCTGAATTGTTTAAAGTTGATTACTTTCATTCTTGTTTATAAAGAAGTCTTATAAGCAAGATAAAGTCCAAGTTTTTATCAGGCAGGAATGCTTGTTCCCGGTTTGATCCACTTACAAAATCTTGTGAAACAAAGTTCCTAGTTTTCTGGAGAAAATGATCCAAATTTTAATGTATAGTGTCTCGTTTCTACATGAAAGTGTATGGTATAATTGATAAATGCATCATTGTGTGCTCATTTCTTGATTCATTAGACAATGCTTTCGGGTAATTACCTATCAACTATGTGACAGGTCAAATAGGCTATGCTCTAGTTCCAATGATCGCAAGAGGGGCAATGTTGGGTTCAGATCAACCGGTAATTCTACACATGCTTGATATTGAGCCTGCTGCCGACATCTTGGAAGGGGTAAAAATGGAACTGATGGATGGAGCATTCCCTCTTCTGAAAGGTTAATTTTTAAAACAAATTGATTCTCAAGTGGAATTGTTTATTTAAACATGAAATTTTGTTGACTTGTTTTTGGGGATTCTTTATGTATCTTGTAGGTGTTATAGCCACCACCGATGTTAATGAAGCTTGTAAAGGTGTTGATATCGCAATCATGCTTGGTGGATTCCCTCGTAGGAAAGGAATGGGTACGAAAGCTCTAATATCTAAGAACGTAGGAATATATAAGACTCAAGCTTTGGCTTTAGAGCAGCATGCTGATCCAAATTGCAAGGTTTGTATGTTTATGGTTCTTTTTAGCCATCTAACATTTTCATTTGTTGATCCTACTTGAGAAGAAACAAAAATGAGATTATGGGTTTCATTTATTAGAGCTAAAAATCTCAACATCAATTATTCAATTCAATATGACAGGTGCTTGTGGTTGCTAATCCTGCAAATACGAATGCACTCATCTTGAAAGAATTTGCACCTTCGATCCCAGAAGAGAACATCACATGCCTCACAAGACTAGATCATAATCGTGCGTTAAGCCAGATATCCGCAAATCTGAATGTCCATGTTGGTGATGTAAAAAATGTTATCATTTGGGGAAATCACTCGTCAACTCATTATGCAGACGCTAATCATGCTACTGTTGACATTGGCGTTGGATATAAATCTGTGAGAGAACTTGTTGCTAATGATCATTGGTATTATTTCAGTTTGTCTCAAATTTATCTTCATTAAACTTAATCTCTCCAAATATTTGACTTTTTATCTAAATTTTAGATTACTTCTGATGATATTGATTATGATTCAGGCTGGACTCAGAGTTCATCACAAGTGTGCAACAGAGAGGTGACGCTATAATAAAAGCTCGAAGGCTGTCTAGTGCATTATCTGCTGCAAGCGCTGCGTGTGATCATATGCGCGATTGGATTCTTGGTACTCCTAAGGTCCAATTTCTTCTTATTTCACTTATTTGCTTTTTTTTACACCCTCCATCCCAAAATAAATGTCCACAATGAAAAATACAGTTTTAGAAATGTGTAGTTGTTACATTCTTAATTAATTAAATGACATACCCTTTAATAATAAAGGAATAACTAAATTTGCCACCCCATAATTAATGGTAGAATTGGAAAGTTTCCACTTAGTCATTTATTTTGGGACAAACTAAAATATAAATCTAGACACTTATTTTGGGATGGAAAGAGACATGAGTATCATTTTGTAAATCAACGATTCCCATTTTTGCGAGCAGGGAACATGGGTGTCGATGGGAGTTTATTCTGATGGATCGTATGGTATCCAACCGGGCTTGATCTACTCTTTTCCCGTCACCTGCGAGAAAGGCGTATGGTCAATTGTTCAAGGTACATTTCCATCAAATATTCCACTTTTGTAGCAAACTAATGTTAAGCAACCCTTGAATATCAAAAAAATGATTCCCTTGAATATAAAAAAAATGATTTTCTCATGGCTGGCCTCAAAACTGAATCAATTAGCCATGATATCATCCAATTTTAAAAAGAAACGACACTACGGGCATTCCACAACTAGAACGTGATGGGCCGGGTTTGCTTGGTTTCAAAAGCATGGCCACATTTACTAGTGTAGCAAATTCAAATGAACATCATTTATATTGTGTGTAATGTGTTTATGCCACAATGTACCTTGTTCTAAAGATGCACATGTTCCAGCTTGCGAAGCCTGATTTCACTGACACAAATTCTTTTTTAAAATCATGGCCCGAAAAAGCTTGGGCCAGGATTTGGTTTTGAAACAGGCTCGATTCAGGCCTGATGGGCCGGGCTTTACCCGGCGGCCTGGAAAAAAAGTAACCGGCTTAATCGGGCTTTAAGATCTGGCCTTGGGTTTGTGGCTGAAGCCTTTTTGTGCGTCTCTAACTTGTTTAGTGTCAACATTTCCGTTTATGGGGTGTACCAAATGAACTTTGTACATAGACTTTTACGGGATGCCATGTAGCGAGAGAACAATCATTTAGAGACACCAAAAGTATTATCGTTACGATGTTGTCTTCTTGTACGATTTAAAACCGATGAAATTATGAAAATGACAAAGTATTTAGAAATTAAATTGAATAATTACTTTGCAATGATGTAGGTCTAAATATTGGAGAGTTTGAAAGGGGGAAGATGGATGATTCAGCAAGAGAGCTTATTGAGGAGAAAGCATGGGCCTATTCTTACCTCCATTGACAATCTTATGTTATGTGCAATAAGCTTGAGATTTTTAGTTTGTGTTAATATTAATCCATAAATAAATCAGCCTCCATTTATGCGAATTTTAAATTACTGTTATGCCCTTCACCTCCCACCTCTCTTCTGCATAATCTCAAGGACAAGTTGGTCAAAGGGTTCACTGTATTTTTATATATTTTTTCATTTACATGTTTAAATAAAAAGATTTATAACCACAAGGTTGGTGCCTGATTGGTTTGAGTTTGGCTCCAAAGGTCAAAAATATCTGGAGGTCTCATGTTCAAATCCAAGGAAGAATAAAAATCTCCTTGTCGCTATGGAGGTTCAAATGCGGTGACTCCGGGCTATCTCAAATTAATAATTTTTTTCAAGGGGTTTCATTCTTTTCTTTAAAGAGTTTTTTTTATTGTTTTAATTAGAACATATCATTAACAAAGTTTAAGTCGTTTTTCGTCTTGTTGACTACTAAAATTTCGATAAAATTGACATAATTATCTGATTGTAAAAAGACAATTTTATGATAAATCTTTTTGTTAGAATTTATAACCGATAACCTTGTTCATTGTTATCACTCGTCTATTTTGCATATATAATCCCATGAACATGTATACCACCATACCAGGTTCTATTCTATCAAGGTGTTCCTTTTTCTATTTAGGGAATTAGGATCGTTAACTAGAAGCTTACTGAGTAAGCGTTTACTGGTAATAGCCACCATCTTGCTTAGCTTATCGGGTAACATTATCGGCCATCAAAATGGATTGGTGGTAATCATCTTTTACTCGGTAACTTCTTATCAAGTAAGAGTTTTCTTCCTCACTTACCAAGTAAGATTTCGGTCCTTGTTATTGAGTAAGATTCTTGGTCCTTGTAATGCTACCCACTAAGACAAGTGACACCAAATAAGTGTTTGGTAAACGATTCCTTACTATTATTTATATGACTTTTAGCATACGGAATGTATGCCACCTCTTGTAACCTTTCCACACCAAACACCAAAAAAAGCCGACAATCCATTGTTCAAGATGTCAGATGTGCGGCCTCTAACATAAACTCTTACTGAAATGTCTTGTATTTTTGTTTCGGTCTGTTTAACACAACAAAAAGATAATTGAAGTGTATTTTGCTTGTTATCTAATAAAAAGGTTAAATAAATGCAAATGCATAAATAGATAATTAGTAAAAAAATAGAGTAAACTACAAATTTGGTCCTTATGGTTTGGTGGTTATAACACTTTTGGTTCCTATAGCTTCAAAATAAAATTGGCCATTGTGATGTACAAAAGGGTGCATTTGGTACGCAGACAGGACAGGACAGGACAGAACATGACAGTTGTTCAGCGTTTGGTAAGACATGACAGGACTAGACAGAACTGGTAAAAATGACGGATTTACCCCCAGTGAGCTGTTTAGTGTTTTTTTAACTTAATAATCAATATAAATGTTAACAAATACGGTGTGCAAAGTATAACTTACATCAAACCACTACTACTTGCAAAAATATATTTGCAAAAATACATGATTTCATAATCAACTAATGATATATGAAAAAAGTATATATAATATAAGCATCAAGAATCCATTATCGAAGCAAATCTATATGCATTCCATACTAAGAATAAAAAACTACTACCAACAAGTACACAATCAATTAAAATGAATTAAATATCAAATAGTAAAACTTGAATTCCAGAAAACAAAAGAATTTACTTATCACATGTACAATGACTCTTGTAAGATCAAAATCGAATATTTACTACTCTGATCAAGGGAAAACATACAAAACTCATCGAAAACAACAAATTACATGTGTGAACCTTACGCAATACGTTTGACGGTGATAAAATCAAGAAAACAATTTATGTAATTTATTAAATTATAATAGAATAATTTTTTATTACAAAATATATCATTTGAAGTTTTCATCAAAACAATTAATATGACATCAAATAAAAAGTTTGTGGTTTTCTATTTTTATTTTTATCTCTTTTCTACATTATTTTTTATTATTAATATATAATAAATTACATAAATTAATAAAAATATACAAACCATATAAAAATAATATTTTGAGGACAGTAAAATGAAAGTTTAAGAAACATAAAATACAATAAATAAAATTTAAAGAATGAATAAAATGTAAAAGAGAAACATATTTGATGTTTTAGAAGATAATTAAGTTTTATTTTGAGGTTATAATGGTAAAATACAAGTCTGTTCCACCTTGTTTCACCCTGTTCCATGGGGTAGGGGTGGAACAGGCCTGTTCCACTTTGTTCTACTTTGTTCCTGTCTGTTCTACATAAAATTCATGCCAAACATGGGACAAGGATTTTCTGTCCTGTCCCTGTCTAGTGTACCAAACGCACCCAAAACGACCGGATTTTACCACTTCCTCTAACATCATTAAAAGAATTCGTTAAGTTGGTATTTTTCCACTTTTATCTCATTTTTCTTTAATAAATAAATAAATATATAAATTACAGGGACAAAAAAGTAACTTACTATAATACATATACAAAAGGTGCAATTTACTCTAATTAGTTAATATATATATGTATATATGTACATGGCGAAGGATCATGTGAAAATAAAAGTTAATGTGAAAAATGTAAGAAGATATATAAACCATTTATCACCTTTAGTATCAAACCCCCCCATGAGTTGCGTTTGATATGGGGATTGATCCATTGTATCGGTGTATCACATCCTAATATAGCATATAAGAGTGGAGATCCTTTCTTATACTTTTCACTTTAAATCTTCTTTTCACTCGAACTCAACCCATATATACACACATCATATTCATATATAGCAGACAATAAACGTAAAACAAGGTTTTCATCGGCATACAACTCGCCAACAACAGCTCTTCGTCGGCCAACCTTACTCTATCCCATCCCTCTCCATTAGCGAACCTCAAACCGTCAACACATCGTTCCTCCGCCCAAATCAAACCTCCAGGGATCCGTCGGCGTCCTTTTCCCTCTGGTCACAATAAACCCAAAATCGTCGGCCAAAGCAAACAATATGGTCATAGACCTCCTCGTTGGTGTCCCTCTCCCCCGATCTCACTCTGCCCGGTCGAAGCACCTCCTCGTCGTCCCGTTCCTTCACCCTCGTCCCTCTCCCACTTAGGTCTATCAAACCATTAGATATATGGATTATGAAGAAACTCCTTGGGATGCAAAAGGCATAAATCTTCTTCCGCGTCATCTACAATATATATATATATATATATATATATAATGTGTGTGTATATATATTACTTAGGGTTTGATTTTAATTTTGAGAAACGAATACGTGGATATATATTTTTCTTTGTGACTTACTCTTTAAAAATACAAATATGGGTTTGATTTTAATTTGGATTTGGATTTGATTTATGTGTTATATATATATAATTCTTAATTCATGAGTTGTAGGGAGGGATTTATGTCACCACAAACAAAGACTAAAGCAAGTGTTGGATTCAAAGCTGGTGTTAAAGATTATAAATTGACTTGTTATACTCATGACTATGAAACCAATGATACTAATATATTGGCAACATTTCGAGTAACTCCTCAACCTGGAGTTCCGCCTGAAGAAGCAGGGGCCACAGTAGCTGCCGAATCTTCTACTAATACATAGACAACTGTGTGGACCGATGGACTTACGAGCCTTGATCGTTACAAAGGGCGATGCTATGGAATCGAGCCATGTATATATAATTAGGTAGGGTTCTTCTCCATTTGACTTCAATTTTGAAACTGATTTTAATTTCGAGATTGATTAGATACGTGTTTTGGCTGGAGAAGACGTTGTGAACTACAATTTTGGTCCCCATTGGGTAAAAAAAAAAAAAACAAATGACGAAAGTTCCCTTCATTTAATGGGTTCTTCTAACACTCTTTAGCGGGAGGGGCCAAATGCGGTTGTTTTGCATACCAGAATGGCCAGTTTGTAATTTTCAAACTATAGGGACTAAGTGTTATAACCCCAAAAGCAGAGGGAACAAATTTGATTTATGGTTTTATTCCCTCACATTAATTATTTCTACCACATCCTATTAAGAAGGAGCACAAAGTTATGATTTTAGAAACTGAATAAACGAAATCCTAAGTTATCGTCTCCCTCCTGATGAGGATGAAAAAAAGAAAAAGCACGCATCCAGCATCTACCATTGCAAAATTCAGTTGTAACCAAATGCTTACTCGGGTAAACGTTTACCAAGTCATATTCCCTTATCGGATGAATATCTGGTAAGAGTGAAGGCACGAACCAAGAGTCTTGCCGGGTAAGTGATGGCGACGACTCTTACCACAGTTAGTGCTTATCGAGTAAACTGTTACATACGATGTCGTGTTGGTAGACTAAATTCTTACCCAATTAGTAAGCGATAGAGTTGAAGTTTACCATTAAGTGCTTACCGGGTAAATGTTTAGGTAAACGGCCCCTAACTTTTGTACCACCATTTAAATCATCGAACAAAACACAACCATCTCCTCATTTTATCATCCTTCCATTACTTATCAAATCATCATATATTGAAACTTCCACTCACTCCATTACTTCCTTCATCGACCACAACCCTTCCGTCAAATTATTTGTATCTCCTCTAGCCCCCACCTCTGCACTTGCAATCACTGTTGGTCTCTCTTTCAACTCACTCGTGTTGGGAACCCTAGACCCTGATTTATTTTTTTGGATATGAAGAGCTCGGTCACCTATTATTTAGAAACCTGCTCATACCACAACCTAACCCCATCCTCTCCACACGTCTCCTGTAACGAACCAAATCTAAAATAACGACAATTAATATAAATGGCCAACTGGCACCACGATTTACAAGAAATATGATTTCTCAATTCATCATAAGAGATTCATGACCGAGAAACAATATCCATGACCGGGTCAGTATTAACACACCACATACTACAATCAAGACCAAAGACAAATATACAATTAGTCTCAATATCGTCCTTCAAGTAATAAAGGGGTACAAGTACCGGATATCGTCCACATGGATTGTAGTAAAAGTTTAGATGAAAGTAAAGTTAAGGAGATGATTTCAGAAGGTGAATTCAAAGACTTTGAT